GGTGGGCCCAAGGGCCACTCAGCCCATAGGTGGGGCCGCCCGGCCACCCCTGGTAGCGCCTCAGTCTCTGCTTCGGTGAGTTGCCTTCTGGAATGTTCTAGAGTCTTTCCACATCGATTACACGGCGGAATTCCGTAATTTCTGTTGACGAATAGGTCCCCTTGACGGTTTTCTAGATAAACCCTGCTGAAAACACAGATTCACCAAAACTCATAGAATTTATTAGTTTAAACCCCTATACCTATGTTTGGTGATGGAATTAAGTATAAATACATGTTATGTTGATGGTTTATAATTGATGTCAGTGACCGTCAACACCGATCGACCATTAGAGTGCCATCTCTACCAAGGATGAGGCGTGGACATGCCTAGCTGATTTTCTCCCTCGCCCCCTTTTTAGCCTGAGGAAAATGACTCGCTTCATGAGGGCTAGCCTTGTTTTCTATGAAGTTTGCTTAAGTCAAGCTAAGGTCAAGGCCATTATACTTAAAGCCGTACAGGTCAACACGATTGGCCCAAGAAGTATTGGCTAGGCTATTACTTGAGCTTGTGCTAAGCAAACAACCACTTCTGCCTCTTTCTAGCCAAGGGATCGAACAACCTCCGCGAGGGCTAAGTCCTTTTTCCTTTAGTGTTCTTTTTGGTATTTCTCGATCTTCCCGTGCTTTGTTGCTTCTTTTTCGTAGTCTTTCTTGGTTAGTGGTTGATTGCTCCTTTGCTTTGTTTGTCGTACGAGCGAGGTAGTTGCATCGGGGATGATGTTGATTGACCTAGAATCCATTGGAGGGAGGAGACACGAGACAACAATAGGACCTTGAGGAGAACAACTATGAGTACACTAAGAATCTCAGAGTCGACCAATCAACAGGTGCCACGTCCCACCCAACCTTGTAGAATCCTATTAGACATGCTATAATGTAGATGCTAGTGCTTTACTTTTATGCAAATGATATGTGATAGGTTGCATGGTAGAATTGCTTGTGAGCCATTACCTTATCACAACCTATACCCCTGCACACCCGCTGTTAGGCTAGACGCTCGCTTACTTACTTGCTACTGCTTCAACTACGCATTATATCTATGATGTGACGCTTGGTGGAGGATTGTTTGTGAGTGGTTAAGGCACTTGGTGCCGATAATGTGGTAACAACCAGGGAGATCTTGGCGTGCGTCTTGGGTGTGCTGTGAGGGTCGAGTCGATCGGGCAGGATCTTACGATGAGTCATTGGATGAGTCTTGCCAAGGGGTGCGACCTGAGCATCCGCTATGAGAGGTACCTATGGTGGGTGCATGTGAGATGAGGAGATCCTGGGGTGGAGTGTCTTTATGGGATGAAGCCTCAAGATGGAGGTGCCACCGAGGCATGGGGTGTTGGTTATCCCCTTTGAGAAGATATCCTATCCGGTCCCCCTAAGGACTGGTATGTCGAGAGAACCGGATCATAGGACCCTACATGCACGCCACTTGTTCCTGAATGGGCAGGGGACGGATGGTGACCAGCTAGGATGGTGCCACTACTACTAGGTTGGAAGTGGATAGTGTAGCGAGGTATGGGTGTGTGGCCCACACCCTCCTAAGACAGCGTAGTGACCTCTGGGGCCCGGTACTACATCTCATAGTCTCAGCATTTCGGTGGACTCTAGGGTGGCCTAGGGCTGAGTGGTAGGGTGGCATCGCACCTGTTGGAAGGTAGCCTGGTATCATCCTAGGCGGGGCACCGCTGATGATGGTGATCTTGTGGTTCTAGGTGTACACGCTCTGCAGAGTTGATCGATCTATACATATAGCCGTATCTGCAGATATGGACATTCCTATGACCTATGCTTCCCTTGATTAGTGAGAGTCCTTTCTTCTTCTTCCCCGGGTTTGTTGGATTTTAGCTGTTAGCCGATAAGGCAAGGCACGAGATGGAGTCATCCTTGCCGCCTAGAGAGTGAGAGTGTGGTGAGATGTGTGTGATGGGATGGGTGAACGTGTGGATGAGATGGGTTAAAACTTGATGAACTATTATAAAATATTGATGAACTTGCATAGAAAAACTATAGCCATAAATAGGCCTTTTGCTCTACCCTTGCATTCCACTTACCACAAAGCAACGCAAAGCATAGGGTGGGAGCCAGTGGCCAGTACAAATCGTACTGAAAGATATTTGGCAGGTTCGGATGTCATCTACGACGACGACAACAGAGATTAGAAGGATTAGATGGTCTCGTTCCTACGCTCAAATTTGGTTGAGGAGATGAAGTCTACGCCCGCTGACATTCTATGCCGACTCTGATGATCACCCGTAAAGGAGGAGGCTTCACCCGCCGGCGTGCTACGTCCACTCTGTTGCTGATCTGTGTGCGTTTCTGCTAGTATAGGATGTACTTAGGTGTGTCACCAAGTGTTGTAATACTTGTAAACTTGTAATTATGCTATGTATGTGATGTGGTATCAACTGAATAATGATAATGTGACAGCTTGGTCTTCCTGGACTATCACATTATGATGAAATTTGTGGATTTTCCTTCGAGGAAATCATGGATCGTTTCACCTGGTGGCCATGGGCCAGGGCTAGCCTGACCCAACCCAGGTCCTATGCCTAGGCCTCACCCTTGGCACGGCGTGTTGGCTCAACCCGACCCAATGCAATGGTCGACATGCGTCCCTGCCCCAGCCTAGCCCTGTAGCCCCCACAGGCCTAGGTGCCCATAGCCCCCGCATCCACCCATCGTATAAAATGTGCCCCCTTCCCTCGGCTCTCTCCATCCCCCTCATTTGCATCAGCCTCTGTCGTCTCGCTCGCCTAACCCTAGCTAGAGAGTGGAAAAAGGGAGTGTCTCCGTAGCTCGCCTCCAACCATCGATGGGTGCTTGCAAGCTTTCTCGTCTCATCTAAGGCCGCCTCCTTGCCACATCTATGACTGCGGCCATCAAAGGTGAATCAACAACTCCTCTCACTTGTCTCCTCCACGCATCCTTCCTCCTTCCTCTGTCTTCATCTTCATCTTCGGTCACCACTCGTCGGCTCTAGTCCGTGACCATCTCTTCCTCGGCTCCCTCCCTCCACCACCCTCCTTGTCTTCGTCAGATCCGTCCCCCAAAACCTAGTTTCTCCATCCTTTTCTCATAGATTTGTGGATCTTAGTCTTCAATGACATCTCCAGTGCTCTAGTTGCGCAAGTAAGCCACACTCCTAACTCTAACCCTAACTTCATTTAGCTTCTTCTAACTGTTTGTTTGTGGTTGTTTTTGTAGGCCACAGACTTCTTGCTGAGCTACGGTAGCCGTCGTTGAGGGACCAGAGTGCCCGCGATGGCCGACAATCCCACCTCCAGCAACTACGAGTTGAGGATGATGGGGTTTCATGGTGATGATGAAGATGACTTAGATACGTTATTGATCTGACAAGATATACACATGTGACGTTTCAAAACTATCGATACCATGTACAAATTAACGCTAATACTCTAATGCGAGCGTCCATCCGGGCGTGACTGTCTGGATGACCCGTTCCTGAGCCAGCACAGCGATCGGGCCTATCAGGCCCATCTACGCTCTATCCTCTATCTACACCATCTACACTGCGACAACCGACAGAAAACCCCAACTTCTCGCTTCGCTCGTTGCAGCTCAACGCATCATCCGCCTGCCACAAGTCGTCTCGCGGCAGCGCCCCCATCCCGCGTCGAGCCACGCCACGTCTGCCGATGCGCCGGACTCCATCCTGGTTGTGCCCGCCCTGCCTCGTCGCGCCGTGCCTGGTCCCCGCCCTAGTGCGCTGTGCCCCATCCCTCATTGGGTCGAGGTGTTGCTGACGCTGCCGTTCCGCACTAGGAGGCCATGGCCGTTGTCGACGCCGACGCTGCCGCAATGTTCGATCCTAGCTCGTGACAACACGAGATTCGGAGTGGCCAGACCCGAAGCGAGCTTCTCTACCTACACCTCGTGCTCCCTTCCTTTTCTCAGATGTTGCAAGTGCATGTTGCAAGCGGCTGTTTCAAATATTTTAGATATTTCAGAGGTATGTTGCAGGTGTTTCGAATGGATGTTGTAAAAGTAGATCAGTATATTGCATATGTTGCAATAGGTGTACACGAATGTTGTAAACGTCTATTCCCAATGTTTTATCTGTTTTTTCAGACGCATGTTGCAAGTGTGTTTATCTGGATGTTGTATATGTTTCACACATACGTTGCAAGTGCTTTATCTGGATGTTGCGTATGTTTTGCAATAGTTTTCAAGTGTCTTTTGGGTGTTTTTGCGAGTGTTTCAGTCGCATGTTTTAAGTGTTTCATCAACCTTCAGACATGTTTCAGATGTTGCATCTGGATGTTTTAAAAGTAGATATGATGTTTTGCACATGTTGCAACCTGTTGCAGCTGCTGAAGGGCACGAGGGGTCGGTGGGGCGTACACGCCACGCGGGGTCGGAAGGGGCACAGACGCCACATGGGGTCAGGTGGGGCGCTGACACCACGTGGGGTTAGACCATTCGCGAAGTGCTAGCGCAGCAGACGGGGCAGTCGCGGGCGTTCGGACAGGTTCTAGCGTCCAGACGCGCTATCCACGCCCACAAATTAAAAGCCTGTTTGTACATACAGAGGAAAATCGTTCATGATTATTCATGCATACTTATCGAGAGAGATCACGGAGAAAATTAGCTAATTGTTTTTCACTCCGAACCGAACAGAATAATAAGGATTCGATTGATTATCTAGAAAGGCCTAAATATATTTATTTATGTAATCCAATATCGAGTCGTATGTATCGACATACCTCTGCACTGCAAAGACACCCAGTAGGATTATCCAACTAGGATCGGAGTAGGAACTCGGAACTGCTTCCCCAGTTCTACTCCTACACACGTACGGCCGTACGTGTACGGCCACGCACGCCTCTATATCGATCTATATGTTCATCACACGTCTTTTGTCGATCTCAATTCGCAATCTCGTTTGCACATACATACACCAGTTGACAGATTCGTTAGCACGTAGCACACGCAGGCAGGCAGAGCATGGTGGTGGTGCAGCAGGTCATCGACGTGCCTGCAGCGGCGGCAGACGACAGCGCCCGCCGACGTCCGGCGCGCGTGCCGGTGCCCCCGCCGCGCTCGCTGCTGAGCACGGTCGGGGCCAAGCTCAAGGAGACGCTGTTCCCGGACGACCCGTTCCGCGCCGTGGCGCGCGAGCCCGCGGGGCGCCGCCGCGCGCTGACCGTGCTCCGCTACCTCCTCCCCTGCCTCGAGTGGCTGCCGTCCTACTCGTTCGGCAAGCTCCGCTCCGACGTCGTCTCGGGAGTCACCATCGCCAGCCTCGCCGTCCCGCAGGGCATCAGCTACGCAAGGCTCGCCGGACTCGACCCCGTCATGGGACTATGTGAGTATGCATATGCATGATCTCTCTTATCTATATGTGCACGATGCACGTCGTACGCCATTGTACAAGCAACAAACAACGTGACAGATCGAACCCTCCCACTGCTTACAGACTCGAGCTTCGTGCCGGCGCTGGTGTACGCGGCGCTGGGGAGCTCGCGGGAGCTGGCGGTGGGCAGCACGGCCGTCATCTCGCTGCTGTTCGCGTCCATGCTGGGTCCCGCGGCGTCACCCGCGCAGGACCCGGCGCTGTACGCCAGCCTAGCCTTCACGGCCACCTTCTTCGCGGGCGCCTTCCAGGCGGCGCTGGGCGTCCTCCGCCTCGGCTTCCTCATCGACTTCCTCTCGCACGCCGCCATCGTCGGCTTCATGGGCGGCGCCGCCACCGTGGTCGCCCTGCAGCAGCTCAGGGGGTTCCTCGGCCTCCCGCACTTCACGCACGCCACCGACCTGCCCGCCGTCATGCGCTCCGTCTTCTCCCAGTCGGCGCACTGGCTTTGGCAACCATTCCTTCTTGGAGCCTGCCTCTTCGTCTTCCTGCAGATCACGCGCTACATCGTGAGTACTTACAATTAAGGTACATACAAAAATGATACGTATTTAAGTAATGTACGCTGCCTAATGAAGAATCTTGCTTCTGGCAGAGCAAGAGGCGCCCCAAGTTGTTTTGGATTTCGGCGGCGGCGCCATTGGCGTCAATCATTGTCTCCACACTTCTGGTCTATCTCATCAATGGGGACAAGTACAGTATTCAAACGGTGAGCATGCATGACCAAAATAACACAATTGTTACTGATAGCAATATAGACTATGTATATGAAACTGATGGCTAAACTTGCAACTGTGCTAGATCGGCTCCGTCAACGTACAACAACATCCCAGAAGCGGCGTGCGGCGACCGGGACCGGCTGGTGGCGGTGAATCCGCGCCGGCGCCGGCGAATTGAATTCCGGCGGCGAATCCCCTCCTCTGGTCTTGTATCGAGCCCCCGGCGTCCGCGCCTCCTCCATCTCGTTGCCGTTCTTGACGGCCGCTGATCCAACGGTCCAACACCGGGCTTGCCCAACAGCCCAAGCTTGCACACAAGCTGCTCGATGATTTGCGGCAACCAGTGAGTGGCAAACGGAACTGCAGCCATGGGTGTCTCTGGGCGTTCTCTGCAGCACCCTCCCTCCCCCGTCGCCGGTGCGATCACCACCATCGCCGGTGAAACATCCCCCTACTGCTGATCGCCTGCCCCTGCGCCCACATGGGGTCACCCTCCGACCTCGCTTCTCGTCTGGACTTCTCCATCGGGCGCAAGTTCGAGGAGGACGTGGATCGTCGCTTTGGTACCTTGGTACACCATTCTCCCCCCGCGGCTGATGGATCTTTCTTCCTGCTGGCCACTTTTCGCCGTTTCCTGTTTCGGTTGACCGAGGATTCCGTCTCCTTGGCTCTTCAATCTTGTTTGGGTGGTCGTGCTGCTGGTTTTCATGTTCAATTCTTAAGCACCAACCACTTTCGGTTCTCTGTTTCCTGCAAACAAGTTGGGTTCCATGTGTATCGTCTCCGTCGTGTGATTACATCTCAGTTTGATATCTATTTTCATTTATGGAGCAATGGCACGCCCAATTGGGAAAGAGAAAAACGTCTCTGGGAGGAGGAACAAGAAAGAGAGTGGTCTACTGTTCTCTATAAGAGCACCAAGAAATCGATCAAAAAGGCGAACAATAAGCGTGTTTCTTTTGCAAAAAATCTGGTCCAGAAGCCTCCGAGACAACCTGCTCAGCCTCCTGGTGTGATCCAATTTGGTTCTTTTTTTTTCCTCTCCCAAAGGCTCATACGGAATTCGATTTGCTACCTCTTGCCTTCGTTGGGGACAAATTTGATTTTCATCTTGCTTTCATGGGCGTGTTCTTCATGACGATTCGCACAAGATGCCCGTTCACCCGATGCTAAGCATGCGGCGGACCCTCTGGAGGACAACAGTTCCATTTCAAATTTCAATCTGGGCTGTAGCCGTTGTCTGGGTATTGGCCATGCGCGTGCCTCATGTCCCAACAAAATCAGATGCCTGGCCTGTTTCAACTATGGTCACGTTCAGAGGAGATGTCTCACCATGGCCCGTCCCAAACTAGTCTGGATTCGGAAGGCAACTCCATCAGATCGTTTTGATTGCCAAAATCCCCTCGATTCGTGCACCGTCGATGCTAAGAAACCGGACTCGGCACCAACTGTTGAGGGAGTTGATCAGAACCAGCCAGAAGCGCCTCCTGAAGTTGAACAACAGGCAGTCCTGCAGCACACAGTTTTACCACAGAATCTCATGGATGTTGAGCACTCTGGATCCTTCATGAAATTTCTCAGAGCCAGTGGTCCTGTAATTCCGGTCGATCAAGTGATTGAACTCTCAGATGGTGACAGCTCTTCATCCAGTGATGCAACATCACCCCTAGTTGATGAGGAGGCTCTTAAATTCATGGTGGCCAACAAGCTTTGTGCGAGATCAAGCATTACAGTAGTAGTAATGGATCGCTAGATGGCTTCACCATGAGTGCCACCTACCCTCTGCTCCTAAATGGTCCCAATGCTATCTCGATTCGATTCAGAAGTACAATTGTGCTTGACAAAAGTATATTCAGCACACAGAGATCAGATGAGGCTTTTGTTCCTAATGGCTTCGATTTGGTGCCCTGGAGACCAAAGTGGTTCATCTTGTCATGCTCAAGGTTCTATGAGAATCCAATCGCAGTCATGAGGAGGTCTCCACCGTCATCCCCACTGTGCAGACTGCAACACATCTCCAAAACGATGGGCTGAATGCTATATCTTTTAACTTGGGAGATGGAGCCCAAGGTCCAGGGTCTTCTGGCCTAGCTGCATTTCAAATGGACCAGTTTCAACCTAGCCCACCAGCTCTTAGGGGCCAAAACGAGATGTCGGTCAGAGCACAAAATGTCGTCTCTTTGCCAACAACAGTCTCAAATCCATCTAGCCCACTGGTTGAGGGAAATGTCAATGACGCCAAAGAAGACCGAGCAAAGTACAAATCGCCGCGATTGTGGCAAAGATGGCGCAAACCTCGTCGAGATGTTGCTCGGTGCCAACCCCTCCTCTCGATCCTTGATGAAGGAGGAATCGTCCACGATGTCCAATCTAGCCCATCAAACTTGAAATTTCAAATCGAGGAGATAAGGCCCAGCCCGATTGCAAGCAAGGGGCGAATGACAAGTGATGTCAGCGAGAAAAAGAAAAAACATGTGTCTCCCCGAGGTGGCTTCAAGCGGTGATGCTCGCACCCCACTAGCTCGAGAAAAGTGTTCGTGTGCTTTGAGACATGCTAACAAATGAAGGTTTTTGTGAAGTCCGAATTGACAAAGAGCCCTCCAAGAGATGCAAGAATTGGCTCGTTCAGATTGATGAGGCTACTTTGGGCAGCTGGCCCGCTCTCTATTTCGATTCTGCAAGGTTGGGGGTGAAGTGCGGTGTGGATCCTAGCGATCTCACCGAGGATCTTGCTCGCTCAGTGCCTTCTCTGCAGGTTCCAAATGAAGAAAATGAATGAGCTTCTCTCTGCGGCACACTGGGGTCTTTGTTTGTCTTTGTTTCTCTCTGCACGACCGCCATCGAACTATATTTCTATGTGTGCCGCGCTCTGTTTTTCTATCGTCATCATGTGTACTTCTTGTCCGATGATCCTGGTGACATCGAACTCTCTCTCCCTCAATCCGTTTATCCCAATGAGTACACATAATTGGCATATACTTTGTTGGAATATTCGTGGGATCAATGCATCGGAAAAGTGGGATGTGGTTAGGAAAAAAGATACGAAAGCTCGTTCGGTTATACGCCTTCAAGAAGCGAAGCGTGAGCACTTTGATGCTTCTTATATCGAAAATTTGCACCGAGGCGCTTTGATAGTTTTGATTTCATCCCCGGTTGGTGCTTCGGGAGGTATTTTGGTGGTGCAGGAGGCGGTCACGGTCTTCAGGGGAAGCGTCTTTGGACAAGCAACGTTTTGGCATAACACTATCCTTCACCTCCATGCAAAACAATGATGTCGGAAGCTAACCACGGTCTATGGACCCTTGTGACGAGCCTGCACGCTCGAATTCATTTCTTGGTTTCGGGGACATGCCATTCTTGATTACGATAATTGGATCTTCCGGGAGATTTTAATTTCTATAGAACATTGAATAATCATAGCAGCTCCGCGACGACTCTTATTTTCAACGATGCAATTGGTCATTTGGGGCTTGTTGAATTACCTTTGAAAGGCCGAGCCTACACCTGGAGCAACATGCAGTTAGATCCACTTTTGGAACAGCTAGATTGGTTCTTTACTTCACCAAATTGGATGGTTGAATTTCCAAATACTAAGGTTCTTCCCCTTGGGCGAATCACCTCTGATCATGTCCCCAGTCAGATTGTAATTAGCACCAGTATTCCCCGAGCAAATATTTTTCGTTTTGAGACCTTTTGGGCAGAGCAACATGATTTTGTTGACACGGTGAATGAATGTTGGAACTCGGTTGCTCATATATCAGATGCTGCCAGGGCAATATCTAGTAAATTCAAAGCCCTCAGATCAAGACCGGGAGTGGAGCAAGCACCTTCCAACCTTAGGCTCTACATTGATAATTGCAATCTGATCATCACTTTTTGGATCTATTAGAGGATAGAAGGGGCTGTATAACCCTGAAGCAAATCTCAAGGCCATTGTCAAAAAGCGACTCAAAACTTGGCTCCATTACAAGAATCTATCTTTGGAGGAAAAGATATATCATCAATAGAATCAAATTTGGTGATGAATGTACAAAATTCTTTCATGGTATGGCAACAATATCTTATCGAAGAAACTCCATCTCACGGTGAGGAATGAGCATGGTATCTGGATTCAAAACCATGAGGGAAAGTTGAATTTGTTATGGTCGTCATTTAGGAACAGTATGGGTATGACCTCATCTCCTGTTATGCTTTTTGACCTAGCAAGTCTCATTACCCCAGTTGATGATTTAGAAAGCTTGGTTCCCACCTTTTGCACTCACTGAAATCGACACCATAGTCAAGCACATGCCATCGATAAAGCGCTTGGGCGGACAGTTTTAATGACCTCTTCCTCAAAAAATGTTGGCAACATATCAAAGGTGATTTTTAAAACTGTTCAGATTTTTATCACGGTCGAGGCCAACCTTGAGTGCATCAACACTTCCTACATCACCTTGGTTCCCCAAACAGGATGGTCCAGGATCGTAAATGACTTCCGACCTATCTCTTTGATGAACATTTCTCTCAAGCTCATAACAAAAAATTTTAGCGAGACAATCGCAAATTGTGATCCTCAGATTGGTTCATCGAATCGATGCGGTTTCATCACTTTTCGCACAATACAAGATTGCCTTGTTCGAGCTATGAATATATCCATCGGTGCCATCGAGTAAGAAGGAAATAATCATTCTCGCGACATGATTGAACACTCCACCATCATACAAGTTATGACACACACAGGCCTACCCAACAAGTGGATCCAATGGGTGCATGCCATCCTATCCTCGGGATCTTCCAGCAGTCTTACAGCAGGGAAAATTCTTCAAGTGCAAGAGAGGAGTATGTCAAGGGGACCCACTATCCCCCCTCCTCTTCGTGGCTTTGGCATTTGAGCTCTTCTGATTTTGATCCATGAGCCTCAAGCATTGACTTGCTAAGAAAACCAATCCACCCAGATGATTTTTCCCATAGTGCAACACGTACACGGCGACACCTTACTTCTCCAAGCGGATGCTAGGCAACTTGTCTTTCTCAAGTCACTTTTGCACAGCTTTGCTGAGTCTACAGGCCTGCGAGTAAACTACAGAAAATCACATATGTATCCTATCAATGTGTCTCAGGAGAAGATGGTCATTCTTGCTAGTACTTTTGGTTGTGATATAGGTTCCATGCCTTTTACTTATCTCGGACGCCTATGGGGACCACCAAGCCCAAAATTGATGATCTTGTGCCTGCGATGGATAGAGTGGCGCAGGCTATCAGCATGTTCAGTTTGGTTATCCTATAGTGGAAGGCTAGAAATGATCAATTCAGCAATTACACCTATTACAACCTATGCTATGTGCACGATCAAGCTGCCGAAGGGTGTGATAGAGAACATTGATAGGGCGAGAAAACAGTGCTTGTGGAGAGGTAATTGCGCAAATAAAAGGGTGGAAATCTTGTGGCTTGGGCTGTGGTCATGCAGCCAAAAGAAAAAGGAGGTTTAGGGATTATAAACCTTCGACTTCAAAATGATGCTCTGCTTATGAAGCACCTGAGCAAGTTCTACAACAAAGAAAACATCCCATGGGTATGCCTCATTTGGAGTAAATATTACAGTAACCGAGTTCCTCATGCAACTAGAGAGGTGGGCTCTTTCTGGTGGAAAGATGTCCTTCGTCTCAATGTTCTCTTCAGACAAGTTACTAGATGTGAACTAGGAGATGGATCTTCTGTCTGCTTTTGGGATGACTTTTGGCTTGATGGGATTCTTGCACACAAATATCCACGGCTTGCTTCATTTGCCCGAAATGATGGTATTTCAGTTCTTGAGACCATGCAAGTTGAGGATTTGGACACTATATTCTTTCTACCTTTGTCTGATCAAGCCCTGCAAGAACTTGAATCCCTTCAAGAACAGTTGCAAAGTCTCACATATGACCATGATAGTGCTGATCGGTGGATCCCAATTTGGGGCAAGCAGGTACACCTCACGCCGCTACTATGCCCATATTTTTAGTTTGTGGATGCCCATCCAGTATTCAAGATGGTGTGGAAATCAAGATGCACTCCTAGAATCAAGTTTTTTGCTTGGCTTGTCCTTGTTGATCGCCTCAACACCAAGACAATGCTGCAGCGACGTCACATGAACGTACAAGATGGCACGGTGTGTATCATGTGCACCAATCGGTGAGCAGGAAACCATTGAACATCTCTTTTTTTGATTGCCCTTTAAACGGAGAGCTGGGCAAGGCAAGGATAGGGGTCAATGGGACTCAACTATACAACCGCTTGATAGATTAACACGGGCAAGAACCTCACATACTATTCCATGCTTCGCGGAGACAGTTTTGATTGCGGCTTGGGAATTATGGAAGGTGCGCAATGACAAAGTTTTCCAAAGGCATGATCCAGCTTTGCCTAGGTGGCTTGGAAACTTTAAAAGTCAATGTTTACTTCAGTCGGTTAGGTTTAAAGTTGACATGCGGTCATCTTTTTGTGTTTGGCTTGATGCTTTCAGTTAATTCCCTGTATGTGTAAACCTCTCTCTCTTTTAAATTAATGAAAATGGCTCTCACTGTGGGGATCTCCCTCACAGTTTTTTATTGTCAAAAAAAAAGAAGGGCATAAACCCCCTGTCGGTCAAGAGTCTGCTCTTGTCGTCGCCACACACGTGGCTCGCCGCCAGGACCGGGATCATCACCGGCATTATCTCACTCGCTGTAAGCACTTCGTTTTGTTTCCTTGTGGCTTGTATCTGCTTCAGATCGAATGATCGATCATCAGACATGCAGATGCATGGTTATGGTTTAATTAATTTGTGTGTGCACTGCCACTGCATGCAGGAAGGGTCTGCGGTGGCGCGGAGCTTCGCCATGGCCAAGAACTACCACGTGGACGGGAACAAGGAGATGATCGCGTTCGGGGCGATGAACATGGCGGGCTCCTGCACCTCCTGCTACCTGACGGCGTCGCCCTTCTCGCGGTCGGCGGTGAACCGCGACGCCGGGTGCCGGACGGCCGCGTCCAACGCCGTCATGGCTCTGGCCGTGGCGGCCACGCTGCTCTTCCTGACGCCGCTCTTCCGGTACACGCCGCAGGCGGCGCTGTCGACCATCATCACCTCGGCGATGCTGGGCGTCATCGACGTCGGCGCCGCGGCGCGCCTGGCGAGGGTGGACAGGGTCGACTTCTGCGTCTGCGTCGCCACCTTCCTGGGCGTCGTCTTCCGCAGCATCGACGTCGGCCTCGTCGTCGCCGTCGCCGTGCTGGTGCTCCGGGTCCTGCTCTCCGTCGCGCGCCCGAGGACCACGGCTCTCGGGAAGGTGCCGGGCTCCACGGCGTACCGGAGGATGGACCAGTACGCCACGGCGCAGACCACGCCGGGGGTGCTCGTCCTGCGCGTCGACGCGCCCTTCTGCTTCGCCAACGCGAGCTACCTGTGGGAGAGGGTCTCGCGGTGGATCGACGACCACGAGGACCACATCAGGGCCTGTGGCGGGGAGAGCCTGCGGTGCATCGTGCTTGACATGGGAGCTGTCAGGAGCATCGACTCGTCTGGTACTGGCATGCTGGAGGACCTCAAGAGGAGCCTTGACAAGAGATGCCTCCAGATGGCATTGGCCAATCCGGGCAGTGAGATTATGAGGAAACTTGACAAGTCCAAGGTGCTCCAAATCATCGGCGATGAGTGGATCTTCTTGACAGTTGCCGACGCGTCTGATTATGCACACACAAACTGCAAGATTGCAACTACTTTGCAAACTGTTCAGTCGCCGGACGAAATGGTCTGAAGCTCTGAATATCATTGACACTGACACTATGATCTATGTCTGATTGTACTCTTGAATGTACTCCTTGAAGATGGAAGAACAGCAAAAGCTATTCCTATTTTTTCAGTATATATAATAATGTCCAAAGAAGTTCCACTATTAATTTGAAATGACGAACTATGTAATGATTGCACGTGTTGAATATAGACAAACTTTTAGATTTGCAAAGTCAGAGAGACCTTTTCTGAGACTTCAGAGCACCATGCAAATAGCAGCTCCAAGCCGTTACATAATAACAAATAGAAAATTGTTCACGAACAACTGAACATGTGTTTGGTGGTTAGAAAGAGACGCTGTTCTACCTTATGAGATTATTAAAGGACTTGCTATTCCCAGTGCAGCAGTGTTGGCATTGCTAATAGGCAAATGCACTGATTCTGCAGTCAGAACCTGGATGCAAAATGCACTGCATGTGCATGGGCTATATAATAGATGGAAAGAGAACGCCTTGATACTATATCACAGTACTACCTGAGATTAACACATTAAACTAGCTAGAATGGTCTCATTTAGACAGGGAACCAAAAATTTTAGTACATAAGCTTCTTCAGGATACTAAAATGCTAGCTCAGTTACAAAGGGGAACCTAGGAACACCAAACCTCCTCTTCCAATGCACAGGTGACACTTAGCCAACCTCTTGGAGGTGCAGGTGCCAGCATCTCAGCCGCGAGAACAAAAAGGTTACGGCTCTGTTCTTGATTTCGGACGAACACAACCACAGAATGGGACCCTCTTCTTTTTTTTCTTCTGCCCACCACGGTCCTTCCTTCCATACAGATAGTCCCTCAAAAGCACACGACTGCGCTTATCAGAGACCTTGAGCCTTCTGTGCTCGTGCTCTTCCTCAAGCTTCAGCAAGACATACTGTATCTTCTGGACCTCCAGTTCCAACCTTGCCACATTTTCTGACCCTTTCTGCACCTGCTCGGAGATCTTCCTCCTGCTGGAATACCCTTCTCGCTCGGTGTTCATATTATCTGACAACGCAGGATAGTTCTCAGCCTTCCTGGTCAATTTGTTGTTGAAATTGATCTGTTCCAAGACAAAACCCTGTGTCTCATGCAGCTGCGTGCTCACACTGCTGTACTCAGAATTCATTGGGGATTTGCCCTTTGACGTCCCCTCCATTTTCTGCTTCAACTCCTCAATGCTCGCTTGGATGCTCAACAGCCTCTGAGCATCAGAAGTGAGCCTCTCAAGTACGTTCTTGCTCCACGCCTCATGAGGCTCTACAGCTCCCTTTGACAATTCTAGCTTATTGATTCCAAGATCTCTTCCCCTTACTAGCTCAGACGAAGGGTACTCACTCTTCAGATCCTCAACCGCTTGTATGTCGTGCTCAGATGATGAGGACTTGGCCGTTTCGTTCTTGCAGCTCCTCTCTGCAGCCTCCCACAGCTGAAGCATATCGTCATCGAGTTCAGCATTTGCACCAGTTCCAAGGGGATAGAGGGCAGCTCCAGCACCATATGGTGGACAAGTAGATATTTGGTCCAGCTCAATATCCTTCATGATCTGGGCTTGCTTCCCTTTGGAGACTTCAACACCTTGTTTCTCATGGTCAGAATATATTTCTTTTGCCTCCATGCGTGAGCTGCCTCTTGCTTTAAGCTCTTGAATTTGTGTACTTGCTGCCGCCAATTTAGCTGCAGATTCGGCTGACTCCTGATCTTGACGATCTTTAGCATTTAATACAACCACTTGAAGTGCTTCTATTCTTGCAATCAACCCTTGTAGCTTTGGAGTTCCTTTGGGTAAGCAATCAGATTCCAGCCCATCGTTGCCCTCTTGCACATGATGTACCCATGCAGTTTCCTGTAACAACCAAAGATCACTTGTCAAGAAGGGGAAGGATAGCATATACGACTGGAGGTGGCTTGATAAAGTGTCACATCCATGTAGTGCACGAACCATAATAGAAATATCCAACAAATAATAAGTGATGCTAGAAGGAAGAGCAGTTGCAAAAAAACATAAGATTACAATCAAGTATTACAATATTAATATGTTAAGTATTAAGAAATGGTCAAACTTTGCTTCACTGAAAGAATAGAATTGTTTTAGCTGCATGAAAGATTTCAAAAAGGGTGCCTAGTTAATAATAAGGACAAACAAAGAAGCTTACCTCTTTGCCTTCTGTACTACATGGTTTTGACAGAGAACGAGCATCTTCTTCCAGCACACTGACATGATCAGTCAATGATGCTATGAGAGCTAGATGTGTGTTCAACTCAGCTTTTAGTTCTTCATGTTCTTCCTGAATGCCAGACAACTGTTTCTGCACCTCCTCAATGTGAGCATCTCGGGAAGAGATCTCCTTCATTAGCAACTCCTTTAGGGATATTGCTCTATTCTCTGTAGCTTTACCATTCATCAAAAGCTTGAATGCTTTTTCTTCATAGACCACAGAATTCACTGAAGATGTAATTGCATCATCCATCAGAACAACAAATTCCCTCTCACAATGCTCAACCTCTGATTGCAATGCCTCATTGTTTTGGTGAAGAAGTAAAATTTCGTCATCCTTGCTAGAACACTGTTCAATCAGTCTTGTGATTTTCTTCTCCAGTTCTCCTTTCACCACTTTAGCACCTTCGATTGCAACCTGAAGAGACCCAACAACTCCACAGAGTTCCCGGTTCTTTTCTTGCAAGAGTTGAACCTTCTCTTCTGCTTCCATTAGCTCATCATCCTTCTGCACCAACTGTGTCATGCAATTCTCAAGTTCAACAACCAACTCCTGGCAGACACATTGATTGATGTCCAAATCAAACTCTGAAAGGACTAATCGAGTTCTGAGAATCTCTACCAAGTAGATGATATACTCCTTTAAGTGACTACTTTCTGATTCAAGCACCACTGACCTTCTGCTCAGCTCATTAACTTGGAGATCAAGATCGCCCTTAGCCAAACTCAACAAAGCCATCTCATCAGTAAGAGAAGCCAATGCAGATGCAATCTCATTATTATGTCCCCTAAAGAAGAGGCACAAGTTCTCGAGCATCATGCATTCTTCAAGAACAGTATCATTCTCATCTTCCAAGGAATTGTACTTCTCACTCAAGGACTGGTATTCCTTAGACAAGGACTCATTTTTTTCGGTCAGGTTGGAAATTTCATCTTGTGAGGTCTGGTAGGACTCTCTCAAACAAGATAGTTTCTCTTGTATGAGGAATACTTCTGTTTTCAGCACCTTCTCCCTTTCACTGCTTTCCTGTAATCCATTCCTTAGTTGTTCATTCTGTTCCAACATCTGTTGGTTTTTGTTTTGCAAAGAAAGCGACTCTGCTTCTCCACTCTCCACTTCTTTCTCAAGGGCACACTTCTGTAAGTGCAGGTCTCTGAGCTCCATCCCTACTTGCAACAAAACTACTGAGAGAACTGAGAGCTCGGTGTCCATGAGCCTATTCACATCTTCAGTTTCATCCTTAAGTCTCAGAATGTTAATGGTTTCATCTGAAACAGTCTGCAGCAGAACTTCGTCCTCAGCTAAATCAGCAGGTCCTAGATCTTTGCAGATATTCAGAACCTTCATTTGCTTTGAAATCCCTTCCCTCAGTTTTTCATTGTGCGTTAGCAATGTTTTTCTCTCCTCTCCATGATTTCTAGCTTCATCCATCAACTCTGAAACTAACATATTGACCGAATGATTTTCCACGGCATACTTCTGGCATTCAGTGAAAAGAGCGACCTTCTTGTCTTGCTCATCGACCAAACAGTTCTCCAAAATAACTGTACTAATAGAAGCACTTATGTTTTTCTTCTGTTCCTGTTGAAGCACCTCCTCCGTATAATGGTTTTTCTCTTGCAGAGAAGAAATTTGTTTCTCATAGCTGTTTGCTTGCAGTTGATGTGACTTTGCTGACACTTCAAATTCCTCGTTCTTAATTGTCAACTGATCCTGCAGTTCCCTTACTTGATCATATGCAATATCCTTCTCTCTGGATACAGAGGAGTGCTTCAGTTCCAGATTGGCATGCATACCTTCTAGGGCTTTCATGGCCAATGTAATGCTCTCCAACTGAAAGAAAGAATTTACATAATACAATATATGAGAAAAAGAATGTATGTACAGAAGGACATGAGATGAGACCAGTTCAAAAATTATGACAGTGTAACAATATTAATTTCTACTTCAACAAAAAAAACTTAGTATGTAGGTTTACATCATTATGTACCTGAGAGAACAGGTGGTTCTTTTCAGCAGAAAGAACTGAATTATTTGTTAGGTGAGTCTGGCAGGATTCTTCAGAATCTTTCAGCTTTGTTCTCAATTCATCTAGCTCAGTTTTCATATCACTTAATGAGACATCCAAGATAGAATTCTTCTCTGAAACCTCAGATAAACTTTTACCAACGATCTCTAGCTCTGATGCAAGAACAGTCTTTTCAGAAACATGACAGGAAATTGCTTCCTTCAGAGAGATTTCTGAGGCCTGTAGTGCTTTTATATTCTCCCTCAATGCATCCACTTCACCAGAAAGAGCTGAGTTATTTGCAAGGAGAGCCTGACAGGATTCTTCAGAATCTTTCAGCTTTGTTCTCAAATCTTCTAGGTCCATTTTCATATCAGATAATGAGATATCCAAGATAGAATTCTTCTCCGAAGCATCAGATAATCTTTTACCAAGGATCTCTATCTCTGATACAAGAACAGCCTTCTCAGAAACATGACAGGAAATTATATCATTGAGAGAGCTTTCTGAAGCCCCAAGTGCTTTTATCTTCTCCCTCAATGCATCCATTTCACCAGAAAGAGCTGAGTTATTTGCAAGGAGAGCATGACAGGATTCTTCAGAATCTTTCAGCTTTGTTCTCAAATCTTCTAGGTCCATTTTCATATCAGACAATGAGATATCCAAGATAGAATTCTTCTCCGAAGCATCAGATAATCTTTTACCAAGGATCTCTATCTCTGATACAAGAACAGCCTTCTCAGAAACATGACAGGAAATTATATCATTGAGAGAGCTTTCTGAAGCCCCAAGTGCTTTTATCTTCTCCCTCAATGCATCCATTTCACCAGAAAGAGCTGAGTTATTTGCAAGGAGAGCCTGACAGGATTCTTCAGAATCTTTCAGCTTTGTTCTCAAATCTTCTAGGTCCATTTTCATATCAGACAATGAGATATCCAAGATAGAATTCTTCTCTGAAGCATCAGATAATCTTTTACCAAGTATCTCTATCTCTGATACAAGAACAGCCTTCTCAGAAACATGACAGGAAATTATATCCTTGAGAGAGCTTTCTGAAGCCTCAAGTGCTTTTATCTTCTCCCTCAATGCATCCATTTCAGCATTTGCATCTGAAAGTGAGTTCTCCAGGAGTGAATATTCTTCAGATAGCTTCTCCACCTCTTGGAGTTTTTCTGAGAGAAGTGCCTTCTCAACCTCACTCCTTGCACACACCTCCTTCAGTTTTGAGTTTGTAATTTGCAACTCCTCAATCAACTTCTGGTTCATTGTTGCAGTGGTTTTTAGGGTATCCATCTCATCAACCAGAGTATGGTGTATCCCCTCTAGATTTTCCTTCTCTTCCCTTTGAGAAGTAAATTTTCTCTGAAGTGCTTCTTTTTCACCTATGTGTAACCCCATTTCTGCCTGAAGTTTCACATTCAAATCCTTCAATGCGTCCAATTCAAGATGAAGGTCCTTTATCATAAGCTCAGTAGAAAGATTCTGTTCACGAAGGATATGGATTTCCTCCGTATGCTTGGTTACAATGTTCTCAAGATCAACCTTACTGTTCTCCACCTGTCTTAAATTACCATTCAGCTTCTCGAGTTCCAGTGCCAACTCTCTCACTTCATTTTGTGACTCGGAGTGAAGATTTGTCATCATAAGAAGAGATGCTTCACCTTCAAGCCGTTTTTTAGTTTCATCTTGTAGGCTAATTTGGAGGTTATCCGCTTCTTGTTTCTTATATATGAGTTCTTGCTCTATCATCTTAACTTTTCCTTCAACATTCTCCAGTTCAGTTTTCAAGGCCACGAGTTCAGATTCAAGATCCGATATTCTCGCTGAGGACTGCTGGTTCTCATGGAGGGTAGCATCTTTCTCAGTGTTTGTAAGTAGGATGGTGTTGTTAAGTTCAGATGACAAGTTCTCCAACTCATACAACTTGCCATTCTGCTTCTCAATCTCTATCTGCAACCTACTAACGTCTTCCTGTGACTGGGAATACATTTTCTCCAATGACACAAACGATGTTTGGGCTTGTAGCCTCTTCTCACATTCATCTTTCAAACTTATCTCCAGGCTGTCGACACTTTCATTCTTCCGTGTAATTTCTTGCTCCAATAAGAGAATTTTTTGGTCCGACTTCTCCATTTCCAACTGCATCTTTGAGAGTTCGAACTCCAAATCAGATACTTTCTCTAACGACTGTTGTTGCTGAAGGAGTGCTGCATCCTTCTCCGAGTTCAAACCTAAAATGTTGTTCTTCAGTTCTTTCAGTGTGCTCTCCAGGTCTAACTTATTATTTTCCAGCTCACTAAGCTTCTTTTTTGATCCATCAAAATCTTGTGTCAGCGTTCTCATTTCTTCTTGCAACTGGGAATGCAGACCCTCTGTCATGAGAAGAGTTGCTTCAATTTGCATACGCCTATGGCATTCATCTTGCAGCTTGAAATGGACATTGTCCGCTTCTTCTTTCTTCTTTTCAAGATCTTGTGTCAGCAACTGTATTTTCTGCTCAGTCTCATCTAGCTCTGACTGTAGCTTTGACAGCTGAGATTCGAGTACCGAAACCTGCTCCACAGACTGCTGGTGTTGAAGCACAGCTGCATTCTTCTCAGTGTTTAGCTGTGAAATGATGCTCTTAAGGCTTTGTATTTCACTTTGAAGTTCATTCTTTGAATCCTTGAGTGTATTTTTCTCGTCACCAAGTTTCTGTATAAGCACCTCAGAGGACTGGTTTTGTTCTGCAAGGTGCTCAACATCCTTCTTCAGCTCACAAACAGCGTCCTCAAGGACCTCCTTGGTCTGCTTGAGCTCATTCAACTTTTCATTCGCTGTCTTTATTTCTATAGCCATCCTCTGTACTTCTTCATGAGATTGAGCAAGTTCCTTCCCCTGGGAAAGTAGAGCACTTTCAGCCTGCATGCACTTTTCATGCTCCTCCTGGAAGCTCAAGCGGAAACTCTCCAATTCCTTAAGTTTTTGTTCAAGTTCTTGTTGCTGCATCTTCATCTTCTGATCCAAACCCTCAGCCTCAGACTGTATAGCAATATTGAGTGTTTCAGCATTAATTAGCTTCTGGACATCTGCAGCCATTTCATCAGTTAACTTCTCGAGGTCAGCCTGCGCCTTCGAGAGCTCGGACTCCAATGTAGATATTCGCTCAGAGGACTGATTATATTGCATAAGTGATGTGTCTTTATCAGCATTTAATTGCAATACTGTTGCCTTGAGCATTTGCATCTCATTTTCAGCTTTGTTTGCCCGCTCTGATTCTGACAACATCTGCTGTTTCAGATTCTGGCTCTCGGCTAATAGTCTTGCAACTTCTTGTTGCAAATTTGCCATCTCGTTGCTGATATCATCTTTCCCTTTAACTTCTGGGCTTTCAAAAGTTAGGCCTTTCCGCACCTTTCCATCAAAACCAGCACGAGGAGCATTTTCACCACTCGATGACAAATCATTGAACAGCTTTAGACCTTTTCGACTTGAAAATGCGCTGGTTTCCTCAGGGTGTGTACCATTCCTCTTGGAGGTGAAATGTTGTGGTGACACACCAACTCCATCCTTCTGAAGATCATCGGAATCAAATGCCGCACGTGTGAAAGTAGACATATCTGGAGTATGAGGCTCCATCTCTGGGCTGAAAGCAGAGGGTGACTCATCTGACATTGACGGCATCTGATTTGGAAATGCTTCAGAAATTGTTCTGTGAGCCTGGCGAAGTGCCCCAGTGGCCTGATCATATCTTTCTGCCAGCGCACGGTATGCTCGATAGAATTCCTCCACCAATTTCATTAGCTCTGGACGTTTCTTGTAGTACATCTCTGCTCTCCTTGCAAAAGAATCAGCATCTTCATTGATAAGTTTGATCATTGCTTTAACCTTTGTGTCCATGTCTGTTGCACAAAACAAGACCCAATTAGTTCATGGACCACACTTATAAATGCAGTCCTTTCATTGCAACCATATCTTCAAATTGATTCCATAGTTATGAAAAAAAGGAACATATATGGACCAATGTTAGTTACTTCGCAGTGACAAAAAAGAAGGCATCAAAGGAAACATTTAAGCCGCCCAAGTGTTTCCAACAGAAATAGACTTCAGTTTAACTGGACCAATAAAAATGTCTCTCTCCCTCTCCCTCTCTCCAGAGAACTCTTTAACACATCAAAAGAAAACTCTTGCACAGATATATGGGCAACAGTTTATGACCTAGTGTTAACAGATTATGAAAATATTTCCAAATTCAAATACCAAATGTGCATTTTTTTTATCAAAGAAAGACTGACATTGAGAAAACAGTCCAATGCAGCAGAAACTCTCTCCAGAGAATTCTTTAACACATCAAATGAAAACTCTTGCGCAAATATATGGCCAACAGTTTAGAACGTAGTGTTAACAGATTATGAAAATATTTCCAAAATCAAATAAAATATGTGCAATTTTTTATCAAAAGAAGAATGACATTGAGAAAACAGTCCAATGCAGCAGAAAGATTCATATGTAATTGCTCGGATCATGAGCAAAGAAATTCAGAAATGTTGTTCCAACTGAATAATAAGTGTACTGCATTGAATTTCCAAGTTGACTCGTATATACATTGTAGAACAAGGATAGGAATATCATGATAGATAGGACACAAACAGTGCATGAGCATGTGCTTGGCTGACTGTAAGCTTTGCCTTGAAGTAAAGTAGGAAAAATGCTCTTTGGTAAAGATGAACTGAAGATAGCAATGAACTCACCGCTGATATTTTCCTGGAGCCATTTCGAGTTCTTGGGGCTGATATGGCTAACCCACAACCAAGAGTACTGCCTTGAATCATGACGAACCAAAGTCGCCATTGGTGCCGGATAGCAACAGAGACTACTCCAACCAACAAATAATGCCTTACTTCTTCAGCACTTAGAACAATGCAGAGATGCAATATCTTATCCTCAAAACCATGAGGGTCCTCCCCTACTTTTCAGTTGTGGGATCAACGGAATCAGCACCTGCAAAGTTATAACAAACAGAAATGACTTGAATAAGATAAAGTAAGCAAGGTATCAGCAGCAACGATGAAGAGGACTCAAGGACACCATGCCTATGACTATGAGTTAGTACGTACCAGCGGCAAGTCTTGAACTGGCCCGAAGATACTACTAGTAGATAAATTGCCCACACTGCACCAAACTGGAACCAAGAAAAAGATAACACTGGCCCTCAGTAACTGGATGACGAGAAAAAATTATGCATGCACAGTAAGCGCTACCGAAGTGATAGTGCAACGCTTCCTTCGTGTGAAGTAAAAAAAGCAATCACAATTATGTCAAACTGACCGAGAAACAAGGTAACCAATAGAACCGGTGAACAAACCAATAATGGATTTATTTTACATATATCTATACTATAAATAAACAGGAAACCAACAGAACCCAAAATCCGTTTCCCCAGAAACGAAACCTCCCGATAAGACAGGAACATCGAGGCGCGATGTTTCTGCTAGGCACGATGCTGCAGACTGCAGCAGAAGGCAAGAAGCGGGTTTTGGAAGCAACATCTCGCGAGTCAGGCGCCATTCAGCAAGAAGAAAAAGAGAGGATATAGATCACATGATCCACGCCTGCTGCTCCACCTACCAAACCCACCCGTCAACACCAACCATTCCGGCAATCCAATTCCCAGCAAAGGCGAATCACGGAGCAGCAGCAGCAGCAAAAGATGGCTCTTTGGAGCATCCAGGCGCGAAACACAGGTCAAGAAATACGATAAGCGGGTACTCAACAATCACGGCATAGGTGAAGGAAGCAAAGATCCAATCCAATCCAATCCTGGAGCAGCGGAGTCTGTCTAGTGAGAGGGGGAAGCGGGGAGAAGGGCATACCAGGTGGAGCGGAAGTGAGCGGCGGCGGCAGCGGCAGCGGCGAGATGCTAAGATCCAGCAGGCTGCCCACTTTGTGCCTCCATCTATCGTTTCTCAACCCATCCCGTGCTCTCTTTCTCTCACATCTGTTCGCTGACAGTGGACTCTGCTGCAGGGTGCGGGCGGGCGGGCGGGCGTACTGCCAAGAAGAAAGGCTGCTTCAGCACAGCAGGAAGCGGGCCCCACACCAAGCGGACGATACAGCAAGGGAGTATAGACTACTCGTGAGTCGTGACCCGCCAGCCTTTTGAAGAGAGACGGACGGAGGTGATGATGCCATGACCATGAGCTGGTGTTTTGGGCGTCATAAATTGGATGGCGTCAATTTGGGAGGGAATTATGAATTCATACACTGGTATAGTACGAGTAACTGCTATGTATATATTATTTGATGCAACGGTCATAAGATGTTGTTTTGAGTATGATGAGTATATTTTCCAAATGACCATGGGTAGGCTTTTTAGTTTTGGTATTAAATTTTTTTAGACACTTCAAAAATAACCAAAATTCATGAAATTTGATGAAAATTTCATGTCTATTTTTTCAGAGAATTAAAGTATGTTTTTTCTAAAATTTTTAAATCTAAACAAAATATTATTGTTATATAGCACATATATTAGTTTAATATAAAATTTCTGATCTTTCTTTCAGACACCTCCAAAATTTCACAAAATTTTAGTAAAATTTCATCGAAATTTGAACTTTGGTCCTGGAAATTTTCAAATGTTGCTAAATTTTTTGCCTATGTTGTAGTACTTGTCTGTTTTGACTTTCATTTACGAATTTTAGTAATTTTTAGGGTGGCTGAGAGAAAATTCTAAAATTTGTATTATAATGCATGTGTTTTACTGTAAATACGTATATACTCTAAACTCATATTTTCTGTGGTTTATTATATATTTTTCTACTCAACATATATGTAGTCATAAATTATACTAATGGATTATTTAGATCTCAAAGTTTTAGAGAATCATATTTCTTGTTAGAGTCTCGATCTAAAAAGGTTAAAAGTTTTCGAACATCATATTTCTTGTTAAAACCTCTAAAAAAGTTTCAACAAAATTTCACCAAAAATTCATGAATTTCAATAATTTTTGGATGGTGGCCAAAAAATCTCAAATACCAAAATTAAAAACCCTGCCTACTAACCATTGGATGCTCCTTTCGCGATCGAACGATTCATGCTCGTATCGAGGTCGAAACAAAGCGAAATTCCGACAAACTGAGCTCGCAACACCACAAGTTTAGAATGCTGTTCTGATTCTCGATGGATCTCCTCATTCGTTTTAGATTAGCAACTTAGCAAGTGGTCTAGATCTAGCTATTCCAGTTGATTCGACATGTAAAAGCGCGGCTTGACTTTGCTGTTACACTAAAAGCATTTTCCCTGCTTGGCCTTCACGTGCATTACTTTTTGTTAGACGTCCCAATCCTTCCATCAGAAAAAAGAAAGAGCAAGACTATTCTGGGCCATCGCGCAATGCAAGAAGAGAAATATATTATTTTATTTTATACTTAAATTGACATTATTAGGTAGCGCAAGGAAAATATGTAACCTTACGGCCGTGGTCACATGCATGCATGTCCACAGCCACAGTACAGAGTATTATTATGGATGTGGAATATTTTTACTCATTATTAGATTAGTCTCCGTGAGAGTTTCATAAGAGCAGTCCTAATGGGTATTAATGATAGTTTTTATCTCTATTAATTATAGAGCCAGCTAGATAAAAAACCCGATGTGGCAGTCTAATTAACGACGAAAGGGAGAAGTATTAGAGGAAACGGTTTCTTAAGAGAGAAATCAGGTCTACGCGTGGATCAAAGCACTAAGAAACCAGGATTTTGCCGTTGGGAGGAAACCGCTAGTTTCTACCCAGATGGAGCCGCGATGCGACTGCTCGTCGCCGATGCTCCTCCGCGCTCGTTGCCGCCCAGGCCACGGTTGTTGTCGCTCTCCGGCTCGTCATCCGCCCAGGCCGCGTGTTGGAATATGATCCGAATTATAACGTTGGTCTTGTGGGGACGCCTGGAGGGCCCACGGTTTGGTCATGTTTATTAGCGGATTTGTTTCCGTATTTGACTGCAGTCAGTCCGTCCTATAAATACATCTTGTAAGCCGCACGGGAAGAGCTAACGACTCATTGTATTTCCTGCGTTCTGTAAACTCTCTCCATATAGTGAAGATCGCCGGTTGGCGCCCGTGGTTTTTCCCCGCAAGGGTTTTCCACGTAAAAATCTGTGTCTCGTGTTCGATCTTGATTTGCATTATTTACTAACAATTGGTATCAGAGACAGACACGAGATTGAAAAAAAAATAAGGTTAGGGTTTCACCCTATTCATCGCGCCGCCGCCAGGATTATCTTCGGTTCAGTGTTTTTTCCATGCCGAGTTCAATCGGCGATTCGACGCTATTGCATCGAGTCAAAGGCGGAGTCTGATTCGTCCGAGTTCGAGTTGGAGGTGGAGGCGGTTGTCTGTTCCTGTTGTGATCTACGGAGTACAAAATCAGGGCCGCCGCCGCTGTGCAGAGGTCGATCTGGTCTTCTGCTGTTGCCGCTGTTCTCAGGAGGTAAATCAATCTACCGCCGCTGTGTATTCTGGCTAAGAAAATTGACACCGTGTCCAGAGGCAGAGAAGAAAAGCTGCCGCTGTTCCTTGCGTGCGGCGGTGCAGGTGAAATTGATTTGCTGCTGTCGCACGCCAACCCAAGTGATCAGGATCAGATTGAGGTTTGTTCTCGTGAGTTGAAAATTCAGATTTGGTGATTTTTTGCTACGTGCACACAGAAAGCGTACCAGAGGATTTCTTTGGCAATTATTTTTTGCTATTCGTACACATCAAGTGTACCAGGCTGCAGGTTTTGCTAGGGTTACGCCTATATTTCTGCAGATTATTATTCTTTTGGTTATTGCTATTATTTCTTCACCATGTCTTCAGTGAAATATGATATTCCTCAACTAGATCGTGATACAAGGTTCGCATTATGGCAAGTCAAGATGAGAGCTATTCTTATGCAGGCTGATGTTGATGATGCTCTTGATAAATTTGGTAACAAGGATTCCAAATCTTGGACTGATGATGAAAAGAAAAAGGATCGTAAGGCCTTGACTCAAATTCAGCTTCATCTTTCAAATAATATTTTGCAAGATTGTCTGCAGGAGAAAACTGCAGCTGCTCTATGGCTCAAGTTAGAGTCAATTTGCATGTCTAAGGATTTGACAAGCAAGATGCATATGAAGATGAAGTTGTATTCGCACAAGTTGCAAGAGGGTGGTTCTGTGATTAACCATCTGACGGTCTTCAAGGAGATCGTTTCTGATCTACAAGCTATGGAGGTAGAATATGATGATGAGGATTTGGGTCTGATTCTTTTGTGCTCTTTGCCTAGTTCTTTTTCAAACTTCAGAGATACTTTATTATATAGCCATGATACACTAACTCTTGATGAGGTCTGTGAGGCGTTGCATGCTAAGGAAAAGATGAAATTGATGGTGTCTTCTGAAGGTTCTGCTTCCAAAAGAGAAGCGTTGTCTGTTCGTGGGAGGACAAAAAATAAATCAAATAATGGCAATAGAGGCAAAAGTTCTAATCGTTATAAAGGCCGATCAAAGTCTTGAGGTAGAGGTGATAAATTCTGCAAGTATTGCAAGAAGGATAATCACTTTATCGAGGATTGTTTGAAATTGAAGAATAAAGAGAAGAGAACTGGCACATATAGAGAGAAAGGTAAACCCAATGATGAAGGTAATGCTTCTGTTGCTGCTTCTAAGGCAGATTATTCCGATGGTGATTCGCTTGTTGCTTTTGCTGGATGTGCTAATAGTGATGATGAATGGATTCTTGATTCCGCTGCTTCTTTTCATATATGCTCTAATAGAGATTGGTTTGTGACCTATGATTCACTCCAAGGTGGAGGTTCTGTTAGATTGGGTGAT